ATAGCAGCTGGAGGAGCCGGGAATCGAACCACTGATGTTAGTAATGAGCTACAGCTGTGCAGCGTCACTGTCATGCACACAGTTTTAATTCATACATTTAGAATAACTCTGGTTTGCAAATTGGTGCAAATTCATGCAAGCTGCTGGCTAACATTATCCAAGTGTTAAACAATCTTTTTTGTTGACATGTTGGCACTAACAACAGTCTCTCACTCTCTCCACGTATAGTCACAACTGCCAGAGCAGCTAATGACGGTGTGAGCTAATGCTGGAGCAGCTATGGCAGAAAGCTTCATGCTAGGCCAGCAGAACAAGTGAAAAACTGCAGTGACACAGAGACGCTCTACCTGCAGAAGATGCAAGAAAACAAACGTGATTCAGTGACTTTTCAGCATATTTCCTTTAAGGTGAAGATGAATGTAAGAAAATCAGACGTTTCCTCAATTCATTCCCTCAAATTATGTGATGAGAAAGACATTCTCAAGTGATTGTCAAAGACAAAACGCTTTTATTCTGCTTTTATCCTGCAGAATAAATACGTTCAGAACACAGCCTGTCACAGCCCGCGAGGGCCGACCGTGTGGAGCGTGTGTTTGGTGGACCCAGGTGTGGACACAGACGCTGGAGGCTAAACTTGTGCTTAGCTCAAAGCGAGCCTTCAATCAGGGCTGATACAGAAGGCAAAATAACAAACCATAAACTGGGAGTAACTAAGGCTATGAACGAAGACCAGGACTGAACTATGACTGTGGACAGACTGTGAACATGAAAAACTGTGAACGAGATCTCGGTGCTGGCACATGAAGGTGCAGGGAAACATGACTGGAGAACGTGACTATGAACATGTCCAATACCGACTCTTGCAGACTAGAATCATGACGTGCAGCTAGAAATAACAGGGTGCATGAACAGACTGACACTGACACGAAGACACACTGGGCTAAAATACACTGAGGAAGTCATCAAGGAATCAGAGACAGAAGGGGGACACAGCTGGGAGGAGTAAGACCTAATGAGACAGCAAAGCCAGAAACACTGACATAAGACAGGAACATGAACCTTCAGAGTAAAACAGGAAACAAGACACCACTAAACAAAGACGCAGACACGACACAGAGACAGACTAGACACTGAACTAAACCTGCAACAAACATGAGAACAAAACCTGCGAACTAATCCCTAAACAAGAACAACTGAAACATAGAGTCATAATCATCAGCATCATAATAAGGAAAGAATCCAAAATGCAAAAGCACACCAAAACATAACTCAAAATACTGAATACAGAACCGTGACACAAGCACAGCAGCAGAAGAATGAATTAAGGGCTTAAAGGACAGTTAAAGCTTTGAATGTGACTCAGCTGTACTGATGCTGATCCCACTCTCATGTGTACGTGGCTACAGCCGAGCTGGAGTCATTGCTGTTCCTCATGTTTACAACTGAACATGATACAAGAATGTTCCCTTGTTTTATATACTGGTCCATGACAATATGACATCATTTAAAACAACATCATAGGCCTGATGGTTGGAGTCGAGGAACCCAAAGCTTAGTGGAGACCTCGGGAGTATCTAAGCTTAGCGTTAGCGTTAGCGTTAGCATTAGCGTTAGCATTAGCGTTAACGTTAACGTTAGTGCGATTTCCTCAATGCAAATTCCTATACTGATGTGCCATAACATTAGAACTTCCTAACATTGTGCTGGTGCTCCTGTTGCATCCAGCCATGGACTCTCTGTGCTGTTGTGTCTGGGAACAAGATGTTAGCCGCAGATCCACACCTCAAACTCATTGCTGAACTGAGGTCAGTGGGCTCCCTGACTGCTCTGTGCACCCCTGTACATGACAAACTGATGCACTGTGTATTCTGACATGACCAGCAACAACCTTCTTAGCAGCCTGAGCTGCAGTATCATGCACCAGTGAGCCGTCCATGACCCTGCTGGTTCACCACTGTCACTTCCATGAACCAGTTTTGATGGATACTGATCACTACAGCCCGGGAACACCCAAACAAACGGCAGTTTGGAGATGCTCTGTCCGTTCCCGCTCGTAACACATCGCCTCTGAGGACGAGAGGTTCACATGCTCCCTGGTAAATGTCACCCACTGACAGGTGCTGTGAAGAAGAATTTATTCACTTCATGATGTTATAAAGTACATAATTAAGTCTGTAGCCAACACACTGACATGAAACAGCTGTTTCCACTTTAACTTGGAAAGACAAACGTTTTCTGCACACAGCGAACACTCGTTACTCTCTCAGTAACACATGAACGCCTTGATTGGACCTCTGGAAGAGTTAGTACGGGCTTATTCACCATGCCTTCACTCCTACAGCAAACCTGCACACACACCCTCATGCTCACTACCTTCCTCATCCATGGAGTC